ATTGTACCCAAAAGGAAATGCAGAAGTTTCTTGAAAGATGGGAAAACATGAGCTCTGGGCTCAGCAGGAAAGTTACGCTTTTGTGTGGTTACATAGTGCATGTGACTGTCACATAGTTTAACCCCAGCAGGTAACTGAGTACCACGCAGCCACTTGCTCACCCTCTTCCACCCCTGGTGGGATGGGGAGAACTGGAGAAAAGGAAGTAAAATCTATGGGTTGAGGCAGTGTTTGATATTTGAAATAAAATATAATAATAATAGTAATTAAAAGAGAGACAACAAAAAGAGAGAGGGAAATAAACCCCAAGAAACATAAGTGTACATGATACAATTGTTCACCACCCACTTACCAATGCCCATCCCATCCCTGAGCACCAATCAGTGGCTCCTGTCAAGCCCTCCTCCCCGAGCTTATGCAGTGAGCATGGTATGGAATATCTCTTCGGCGTGTTCAGGGCAGGTGTCTTACTGGCAGGTCATGGGAAGCTGGAAAGTCCTTGACTTTACGCACTACTCAGCACCAACTAAACATCCGTGTGTTATCAACATTGTTCTCAAACTACAGCCAAAATATAGCACTGCACTACTAGGAAGATTTAGTCTACCCCAGCCAAAACCAGGACAACAGCCTAAAATGTCTCTCCACTAACCTTCCAATACTCTTGCCACTCTCTCAACAGGAATTGCCTTCCTAGAGTTATGCACCCTTGTAGAAGTAGCAAAACATGGCTTAGATACAGGTGATGCAATTCTCATTCCTCCAACAACAGAGTAACCTGGTAGAGACGAGACAAAGACCTTGTACCTCTAATTGTCCCTGTCACCCAGTCTTTCCCTCCCTACTTATGTCCACTGCTGGACTTGTCCTTGCATCCACAACTCCCTCTGCCGTCAACTACATCTTATTGCTGTCCATGAGGACAGAGGTCCACACCTAACAGCATACTTACAACTCCTCCACCTGGGCATCCTGCAGCCCAAGGAGGCATCTTTATGACCCTGAACCAGGTCTGTAGCGTGTATCCAAGCTAATACAGTTTTTAGCATTATCTTTCTTCCTGACCTACGCCCATGCCCCAGCTCTAATCAAAGGTCTCACTACAGTAGGGGCAGCCTAAATCACTTGCAAGCTCTGCAGGCAAGGCAGAGGAAGGGAAAATCAAGAATTGATTAATGGAGGAAATCAATTAAATCAACATATCTGGGTCATATTAGTCAGACCAGGATGATTTCCTGCTTAATTCCTTTATCAGAAGCATGTGCTTGAAAAATATTAATTTAAAAATACATTTCAATCAGCCTCTCTAGACTGTTGCAAACATAAAAAGTACCACCTTGTGCAAAACTAATGGCATTGAAGTGGAGAAATGCCAGATCTCCACTGTATTTCCCAATGCACAGGTGCATGTCCTGCTTCATTCCACCAAGCTGTTGTTGTGGCTGGTAAAGTACAAAAAAACAGACTGCTACATACATTGTTTGAAATGAAACATTCCTCAGTCATCCAGGACAGACACTCATTGGCATGTCTCCCACAGAATACTCAATAAAGAAGAATCTGTCTCCTAGGTTCTGTACTTTGCAAGAAGCTTTAGCAAGCCCCAGATTACAGATAAATAGAAATAGTAGCAGTTGACTTGTTGATCAAAACCAATTCATGACTCATTGTTTATAGTCAAAAGCCTCAGCTGTGCAACAGGTGGGAATACATCCCGCTTGCTTTGAACAGTGCCAGTGATCTCGGAAGCAGCCTCTTTCTGATATCAGAAGTACATTCCCAATAACATTTGGGGAGACTTCCAACATAGCTGGCAAAAGGAAATAGTCTGGCAAGCCGCTCTATGCTTTGCTTAATAGGGATCCAGGCTGTGAGGTGACTCTCCTCCTAACCAGGAAACCCCTGGGTAAAAAAGAAATCAGCCTTGTGTGAGGTCTCTTTGGTGCCAGAACTATGCAGAGGACAAACTGCAAGACCTTCTTTCAGTGCCAGTGGAAGAGCAAGTCCTAACGTGGGTGTTTCTAAGGGACCCGTGTTTGATAACCTCATTTTGCTGGCTGTTCAGAGAAGATAGCACTTGGTTTGCTTGATTCTCCACTGAAAATACTTGGACTTCCAATGGGGTTTATACACAAGTGCAGAGATCACCTCCTATTTTCTATCAAAGCTATAGTGGAGGTCTGGAGATCCCACTGTCCTTGACCAGGAAACTATGAAGTCTACCTACAGAAAACAGGGACTTCAGTAATAACACATCTGAACACACACCAATACAAATATATTTTTGCAGCCCTATATAAAGAACATCTACTTTTTTGTGACAATACAAATCAGAGACTATTATTCTGGTTTAATTCTGCACACTTACTATTTTTTCACTTCACATCTGTACGACCAAGCTTTTCTCTCTTTTTGAAAAGACAAAACAAAACAACTAATAAAATGTTGTCAGTCTAGATTTTATCCCCTCTTTATTCCCAATCCTCAGGAATGAAGCGGCAAAGCAAGTTGTACCCCTGATCTGGCAGACTACCTGGTTTTGTACTACTGCCCTCAACTGCAGCTGAAGATCCCCAATGTTACACCCAATTTGCAGGAGTTTGTTGGAGCTGATTGTCAAAGCAAATACTTTTGACTGAAGTGCAAGTTGAGACACAGTGTTGAGCAACAAGATGATTAGATCCAGGAGGAAGACTTAGGGAGCTTCTCCTTATCAGACCCTCCTAATAAATGTAAATAAGTTCCTGACCTGGATTTGTTTAACTAGTTAGCTATGTTTAGCTAAACTAAGCTGTATCATGGCCCCTAAATCAGAACTTTTTGATAAGGTGGTTACAATGAAAATGTTAATTATTTTTTACAGGCCATTATGAAAATGTTCTGAGATTACCTCAAGATAAATAAGGATCCCAGTTGAAAGAACTATCAAAACCACAGTGAAACAAGATGTAGAAACCTGTTGCAGAGCATGGAAAAATCTAGGCCTTCTTAGCTTTCCTTGGTTTAAATACTAATGTTGAACAGGACATTTCAGAAGGGGAGAGAGAAGTGGGAAATGCAAAACCTAAATCCTTACCTGAACTTTCAGGATCTGTTGAAAACTGTCACTTCTCCCAGGTGTGAGGAAGAAGATGAGCTTTATGAATTGAGACCTGCATCTCTTCTAAAAGCACTGGAGTGCTCTCTTCCATGCCCTTCACTTGAGTCAACCTGGTTTTCTAAAACAGCAGCGCCAACAGGAGCTTACCTAAGCCTCATAGCACTGCTGAAATCCCATTAGCAAAGAAATATTCAAAAGGAATCTTTTGTTGTTGTCTCCTAGAAATGTCAAGGTACTGTTTATGTTCCTTCATGTCACGTGTATCCATTGCACAATGCTAGCCCTGTAGTGAGTAGTAGACCTGTGTAGTCAGTGTTTTATGGTTAGGCTGGGAGAGCCAAGAAAAGCAACACCAAGTTTATCAGACAAGTTTATCAAAGTAAGACAGAGATGCCATCTTCTACTGAGACCAAATATTTAATGAAAACATTGTGATTCAATTATGTCAGCTAATTTTTCTAACTAGCAACTAGTGCATTACTTGCAACAGCCCTGGTGCAGTTCAAGGTCAACTAAAACAGAGTTTTGAGTCACTTCCCACTCAAATAAGAGCAGCTAATCAGGCAGCTCAATGAGAAGATCACAGTCCTTTTCTAACAAGAGGTTTTTTTACTCCTTCCAATTTTATCCTTTCTGAAGCGTCAGCATTTACTAAATCATGACCGGACTGCCTTTAAAACAAACAAACAAACAAACAAAAACCCAAACAAATAAAAATCCCTCAAAAAAACCCCAAACCTGTTTGTTTGAACTGGAACTGGCATAAAACAACACTGCAAAGAAATGGTGATTCTTTGCCCAAAGGGATATCACCGATCATCCTGAGGCATTCCAATGAGGAAGACTGGTTGACCCATCAGGAAACAACGGGTGTGTGACAGCTTATATCTGAGTTCCACTGCATTACTGCAGTGCCGTGTGCCCAGTTCAAGCACTAACAGAGAGAACAAGTGATTGCTCCTGATCATCTCTGAGTGAGAGGAAACCTGCATCCATCCAGCACGGAACCTGGCCCAGGCTTCTTGTTCTTTCACACAGCCCTCTGGCTTCTATAAGATCTCTGCTTGTTAAAGTACCCACCTATGTGCTGCATTGTCACCCTTGTGCTTAGGACTAGGCATAAGGTCTGCAAAAACAAATCGAGCGAGTATCTGTTCCTTCCTTTCAACTAGTGACTCACTCTTGAAAAGTCTGACACCCAGAAAAACATATGGACTATATATAATTGAAGCCAAATCAGAGATGAGCGTTTAAGCTTGCATAAAAATTCTCTAACAAACCAGAAGTGTAGAAAAGGAGGGAAAGCGGCCTTTCAGTGCTCGGTATTTTACTAAATCAAAAAGGTAGTGCTGTTGATTTTCATAGGCTGCAGATGCAGGTCTGCTTCCCAAAGAAGGGGCTGTATCTCCAGCTGAGAAGTCACACAGGTAATAAGATTTTCCCTTTCATTCCCTTTCCCTGGGGAATTTACAATGATTTTGATCTTCCCACCAAATATTATTTTTTCAGTGCATTGTCTGTTTCCCCACTGGCATCCAAGCATAGTTTTTGCACTTTCAAGCTCCTCAGAGAAACAAAGACCTAGGGAGCATGTTTATGTTGCTGTGTACTGAAGCACCGTGGTGAGGCTCCTACTCTTTGCCCTGATAGTAGCATCAGGTTTATATTGCAATTTGGAGGGAGGCTAAGACTGTACTGTGAGGCCACAAAGCAGCTGCTCCTGTTTATCTATATTTAAGACATAATTGAAATACTTAGGTGGGGTTTATATATTGCCACTGTCATTCAGGAAAAGATTGTCATTCAGACTCAGTAACAGCCCCCATCAGAAGGGGAAAACCGAGTCATATCGATCAGGACAAGGCAAGAACTACCTTTAAGAGAGATGCAACATACTTACTTGAGATGGTGGAAGATCTGACATTTATCCGCAGAGGCCCTGTGTATTTTTTCAGACCCCTCCGTAAGATCCTCTCAACTTTTTCTCGCAGTGCTTCTCTAGAATCCGTGGATGAGAACCAGAATGTGAGCAAAGCCTCTGCCATGACACCATCAGCATCTGGGCTACAAACCAACAAAACAGTCTGGTTACCCTCAGCCCATTTCTGCATTTCTTAGTTTTTATCTTAGCTCTCCTGGGAATGGCAATGTAACATAAAGGGTTGGATACGTTTTTGTACATTTTTGGGGAGAAAGAATTGACAAAAGGAATCTGAGCAAATGCTGAACGGTCAAATGTGTCTTAGGATAGAAGATGGCCAGATACCTTCTGTGAGCAAATGGACAGACCAATGTTATAATGGAGTCTAAAAAGCAGCCACCGACTATGTGCTTGGGAGAGGATGCAGGAGAGAATGAACTGATTTGATTGCAATTAAAAACTAGATAAACAGCACTTCAGAAACAACAAGTAGATGGTTAATGGTATCTATGCAGACCTTTCCAGGGCCCTGTACGTACACAGAAGAAACATTCCCAATCATCACCAAAAAGGTATTTGAGCAAAGGCGGAGACACCACGCAACCCAATCCTACCACTGCAACCACTTGGGAGAATATGACTAATAACCTCACATTATACAACAATAATGAAACTCAGCAGCTCACTTGGACGGCTTATCACAGTCCAAGAGATGGACACGCAGTTCCACAGTTCCCATGTAAGATCAGATGAAAGAAAAGGAAGAAAAAAAAAATCTTCTAACGGACTGCATTCACCTGGCAGTAGTATTTATTTTTCCTTAAAGCATCAGATACTGCAAGAGACTGAATGCCAGACTACAAAGGGTCTAATCTGGTGTAGTAAATCTTGCTGTGTTCTTGTAGATGGCTTATCCTTGGTCATTACACAGGGAAGATAAGAGTGTGTACCGAGAGCCTTCTCTCCTGTGCTTTCTTCTACCTGAGCCAAGAAGCAATGACACAACAGGTGGAATCAGTTACTTTGTATAGGAGGCAAACTAAAAGCAGGTTGCTCTGTCTGAAGCATCATTCAGATAGGACAGAAAAAGGATAAGATCTTCCAGTTATACCTCACTATCTTGATAAGTTGTATATAAAGGAAATATAAGAAAATTAAAAATACAATGCAAGTAGCTTATACAGAAGTCGCACACTCATGCCACAATCTTCAAAAGGAACATGCACAAAAATGAAAAAGACGTTCCTGATATTGCCAGTGAAGGGCAAATAAAAGGCCATGAGCACACCAACGCATGCTAAGTGTTCAGTAGCTGAGTGGGACATGTTCCTTGCCTCAAGGATCTCATAATTGAGACTGAGTAGCTATACGTGAACTTTCCAACAGGCTGTGTTTTCCCTTTGTGCCAACTTCAGCGTGACTGCCACTCCATTTATTTTCCAGATATTATCTGATCCAACTGTGGGTGTTGCTCTCCATTTCTGAGGTGTTCCCTTGCCTCTCCCCCCCCCCCCCCCCCCTTCCTGTGCTGTGCCACACTGGAATTACCATATCAACTCTTGCAAGCACACCACACCTCTTGAAACCCTCAGGTAAGTACAGCCTGCCTTGAATCACTCACTGTATAGCAAAGGTCCAGAGCCAAACGCACCTTGTCAAGATTTGTTTTATCTTTCTCAGTGGGCATTATTATTAATGCATTGCTTAGACTGAGCTAAAAAATATGCATGGTACTACTTTCCATACAAACTCATAGCTGTGACCCTGCTTAAAAGGACTTGCAGTCTGAGCAAGGCATAAAGATTGCATATTAAGAGAAGCAAACAACCTTTGGTGCATACAAGTCTTGCATCCATCACAGCAAACGTCACAGCTCAGACTGTCCTTGGGAACAAGGAGTAGTGAAAAAATACTACTTCTCCCTACAGATTTGCCTCTGAGATAATTAAATCACCTTGTATGCGCTTACAGAACTCTGGCCAGTATAAAGAAAAGTTTCCTAAAGCTACATTCAAATAATGACTTGTGTGTAACCGGCGATTAAGCTAAGGGAGAGAACAAGGCACGATGTCACAAACCACAGAAGAACAAAGAGAAATACATTCACAAGAATAAGATCTTGATGCTGCTATTATTGGTCTTGCAGCTTTAGTGCGTGATTATTAAGACATTCAAGTTTTACTTGCAAAGCAATGGGCACTGTCACTCAGGAACAAGACCTCAGTATTACAATAGGCAGTTCTATGAAAAAGTCATTTTCTACAATCAATAGCGATCAAAAAAATCAAATCAAACATTAGGTATTATTGGCAAATGACAGAGAATAAAAGAGAGAAAAAAAAATCCCATTGGTCAATGATAATCCCAACCACAGGTCTGAAGCCTTCATCTCAGGGACAGCAGACCTGGAAGATACAGAGCGGAGTGACAAAGTGACAAGGAACAAGTTCCTGCAAAGAATGGCTGAGCAGGCAGGGACTTTCAACTGGGGGAAGATAAATAAATAAAGAGAGTAGAGCTCATGTGGCACAAGAGAGAAAAGGGATATGATGGGAGTGTCCGATACCACTAATTGCATGGAGAGGAGGGATAGAGGTAAGCTCTTCAACACCTCTTCTAGCACAAGAACGAGGGGCCACTGAATGATCCAGAGAAGGTGGCTCTTCACAAGTAATTCTTCTTAAAGGACTGACACACATGAATTGTAAGAGTCCAGGGGAGACTGAACAAATCCTTGGAAAATAACTCCAGCAGTTACCGCTAAACAAACCACAATGGCTTCAAGAACTCCCAAGTGGTAAACATCTGAAGGTAGGGAGCTTACCAAAAAGCAGTTATACATATCTTTTGTACTGCTACTGTTCCCTAGGCACCTACTCATGCCCTTTCTTAAAGGTGCAACAGCGACTAGTGGGATCTTCTCAACAAGCACAGCTACGCTTGGGTTTTATGTGACAAGCCCAGCACAGCAGCAATGCTAGGAGTAAAATAACGTGCATTATAGTGAAAGAAATAGTTTTGAAAATGCTTTTCCTTTTTAGATAGCTCAAGTTATATCTGCTTTATTAGCTATAGCTTGTTCAAGATCTGAACACAAACTTGTATATAATTTGGACTAACTGAAGTTTATCTTCTCCATCAAGATCCAAGAATAAGAATATGCTCAACTGGGGATTATGCTCTGGTCTTACATAAAATACACTTTATTGAATCAGATCAAATGGCTCTCTAGCAGGGCACATTTCATTTTAGCTCAGCTGCATGCATTTGTTATAATCTCACATACCTCACTCTGATTAAGCGTGAACGGATGTATTTTTTCCTTAAAATGGAATTGTAAAATGTCTTGTCGATCTGTTGAAAAAAGAAAAATATAAGATAACAACAAGTCTCTTCATCAGGGACTGTAGTGATAGGACAAGAGGTAGTGGACTCAAACTAAAACAGGGGAAGTTCAGGTTAGATGTAAGGAAGAAGTTCTTTACTGTCAGGGTGGTGAGGCACTGGAATGGGTTGCCCAAGTAAGTTGTGAATGCTTCATACCTGGCAATGTTTAAGGCCAGGTTGGATGGAGTCCTGGGCAACATGGTTTAGTGGAGGGTGTCCCTACCATGGCAGGGGGTTGGAACTAGATGATCTTAAGGTCCTTTCCAACCAAACCATTCTATGATTCTAACAAGAAAGGAGGGAAACTGACCTATTGCTGGAAGGAGCATTCAGAAAGCAGCATTTAGTTACAAACTCATGGTTTACAGAGTCAAAGTAACACAATCGAGGCCAGCCTCTAGTTACATTTGCCACAGACTTTTCCTGTTTCCCATTTATCCCAAGGCACATCATAAAAAGTTAACTCGTTTTTCTAATACCCTATTACTACATCAGTGTGCCAATATAGTGCAGTCCCATCCATTCCCAGACACAACAAAGGATATTTAAACATCCTTGAAACACACTGCTGCAGTCTCCCAAAGCACAGCCTCCTAGAGGTGGCCTACCGAAAGGCTGCAGCATGCTGTGCTCTGCACTGAGCCTCTCTTGTTGGGGTCCTTTCTCATATAGCACTTATCCTTAGACCTAGAGAAGTCTATAGCAAAAATACCAGTGATCTGCCCCTGTGATTTGCCACATGCTAGAGGGATTGGCAAGCAATTCTCATCAGAAATCTAGGACTCATAAGGAATCTATCCCCAAATGACATCTTTGCTGGTGCCTGATTAACCACATCCTGCTTTAGGCTGAATGTTATCTCAGCATTGCACGATCAGTCTGAGACAGCACAGTGTGATATAACATGGATGAAATTCTGCCAGGAATAGCTCAGGATCACTGAGGTATTGAGAAATAGCAAAGTCACTAGTGAGTTATGCAGTTCCTCCTATCAGCAAGAGCCAGTAAATTGAATGTGTTCTGTAAACATCAAATGCATTACAGGAAAAAAAAATCCCTATGATGTATAAATGATTTACAGAATCATGCAAGCTGTCTTTTATTTGTAGTTTTTAGCCCATAAAGGCTGATTTAGCCAAGTCTCAGATTTTCTGTCTTCCAAAGGGAAGAAGAAAAAAAAGCAATGGCTCTCAAACTTACATGTTGTGTGTTGAAATCTTTCAGTTACAGAAACAATCACGTAAGCATGAAATCTGGGAGTGATTCCTCCCAAAGAACACAAAGAAAGACCTGCTTTCCAGACTTGGCTGTCATAACATGAAGCCTCGTGTCATTACACAGTGATACTGAAGCAGAATAATTTCAAGATAAAAGCTACACATTGTTTTAAGGTGGTTTTAAGCATGCATTCTTAAAGAAAAATAGAAAAGCTCTTAATGGTCATGCACGGAGCTGGTCTTTTGTCTTGCTCTTGCTGTTACTTATACATTTAAAACAGACAAATTTCTATGGGAAAATATATCGACTGCAACAAGCTACTATAAATAGGCAGAATGCACTTCATGCAGCCTATTCCAACACCGCCCCCCTTGGTTATTGGAAGTATTTGCCCTCAAACAAAAAGTTATTTTTATGTTACTTTTAATGATAACATCTGCTTATCATTTTGTGCACAGTGTTAACTGCTTCACTGATGAGTATGTAAGCAGAAGCATGCAGTTAAGCAGCACTGCCAGCTTCATGGCATGCAGTGGCATGTGCTATCTTTGGCTGCACTGCCACTGAGACCTTCTGAGATCTCTGGGACAGGGACTTGTTTGCCGAGTGCTTTGCAGACAAAAGAACCTTGAGGTAGGCTGAGGAGACCTCAACCTTTTATATTGCTAAAAAGTAAAGCAAAAGCAGGCTGACTTTAAGGATTTCAATTGAAGAAGGCAAGAATTCACAATCCCTTGCAAAGGGAGAGTTAACCCTTTATCTCCTCCTGGCAGTTGTGTTTTCAAGATACCTGTGCTGTCTCATCTCAGAGATTGCAAGTTTTTTCACTCGAGTTTCCACTGTATTTCTGCAGCAGACACAGGGATCCTTACTTCTGCCACCCATTCCCTTGTATATCTTTGCTATAGCCTGAGCTATGTGGTTGTGTATCTTATCAAGGAAGACATGCTAGCCAAACATTTGCACCATGGCCCCTATCTCTCACCTGCTGATGAATGTTTGACAGATATGAATCTGTCGCAAATCTCAACTTTCCTTCAATGATAATTTGGCTAACTGAATTAATAAAAGTAATCTTTATATTCATCCAGATCTTATGTGAAAGCTCTGAAAAGATGCCTTCAGATAATAACTTTAAAAGATTAATGTTCAGTCTCATGTTTTTACTGTTCATCTTCTGGTAAAGCCTTTAACACCTATATCAAACACTATACATCTCTCCAGCCTGTTTATAGCTTTCTTTTTAGCTTGAGCCACAACCCTGGAAGCAAAAGCAGCTAGAATTTTGTCCAATAACTAGGTGGGACCTGGTCCTGCCTGGGAGAAGCATCTACACTCATTTTAAGTACTTTGCTTTGATTATAACCACTCATAAGTGACCCTGTCATGACCAGATCCCTCAAATTCACCACTGATTAATTGCATCTCACTTTTTTTCCTGGCCCTTGTCTAGCGACTGCTCAGTGGTGACAGTTCCTGCTGCAGGCAAGGTCTATAAGCATTCATAACCAAGCAGCAAGTCCAGCTCAAGTGAGCAGCACTTTCCTGACAGCCTTTATTTTAGCATTTGTTCAACAAGCTTTTCTTTAAGTTAACACTTGCTGGCTAGTTTAGCTTAATGCCATCTGGTACTTCCTCAGTGTAATTTCAAACCCCCTATCATTTCAACAAAACTTCTCTGCATGCAGTATAATTCACTAAGGCAAACTGGACCTCATTCCTGAACACTGGTCCATGTGTGCCAATGCAGGAACTAACAGTGGCTAGCACCAAAGATGCAACAAGAGGGCAAACACAACCACAAAGGAAATTCTGCCTTGTTCCTTGCAGCTGAAAGTTTCTTTACACCTCGATGAATAGGACCCATTTTGCTATTTGATCTTGAATAACTCTGGATCTCATCATTATCCTCTTTTTCTCATGTCACACCGTGGCCACTCTCTGAGGCCTGCGAGCAACCTACTAAAATCCTCCCAGTTTCAGAGTCATCCAATATGCCCTGCTTCCCAGGGACCCAAAAAAAATGCAGTCTCTGGAAGTAGGTCACGTAGTCTGGACCTGACCCAGCAAGATTGGCTGTGTCAGCCCTTGCTCTTTCCCAGCACACACTGCTCTGCACACAGGGTAACAGGATTTATTTTTGATAAAGCTAGTAAATAAATCCAGTATAAAGCTTTTTGATAAATCTCTGAAATCAGCAGAACTTTCCTCTGGAACATTTGCAGCACCCCGTGAATTACTTGTGTGATGTTCAAAAGTGTTCAGTAGGTTTCATACAATCACAGACTGGTTTGTATTGGAAGGGACCTTAAAGCTCATCCAGTTCCAACCCCCCTGCCATGGGCAGGGGCACTTTCCACTAGACCAGGTTGCTCAAAGCCCTGTCCAACCTGGCCTTGAACACTGCCAGGGATGTGGCAGCCGCAGCTTCTCTGGGCAGCCTGTGCCAGTGTCTCACAGTAAAGAATTTCTTCCTGATGTCTAATTTGGGAGCACAAATGCTCTTTTTGCCCAATGCTATTGCCCTTTTGCCTGCTTCAAGTTAAATGTTTAATCTTTCAACAGTAATCTTCATCTTTTTCCTCCTGCTTCATTAGCTCTTTAGGATGTAAAACCTATTAATAGTGATTTGTAAAGCCTATGATTAGAGATTTTTAAAGCTTTCTGACCAAAAATACTAATTGGAACATACTACCTGCTAATTCTGTACCTAGCACCCAACTTACTGGCCATTTTGCATCCAATTTACAGCTCCACCCAGAGCTGACCATTATGCAAACCCAGTAGCAGCTCTCTTGAGAACTGGATATATCTTCTGCCCAGGTTTCAACTGAGGGAGAGAGGGCAAGAGGAGAAAGACAGACAGGGACACCAAACCCTGAAGCTGGCACTGTCCCAGACCAGGATGTGGACATCACACTCCCCTTAGAAACCAATTCAGTTCCAGCAGTGACAGCCCTACAGCCGCAGTGCTTGCCAAAGGCAAAGGAAATAGACCTGAAGGAGAGCGAGTGTAATGGTAGCCTCCAGCTAACCAGATGAGAAACTTCCCTATCAGAAACCACCCATACACAAAGTTGTGTACATCTAGTTGGTGACCAGTCACTAGTGGTGTCCCGCAGGGTTTGGTATTGGGGCTAGTGTTGTTTAATATCTTTATTGATGATCTGGATGAGAGGATCAAGTGCATCCTCAGTAAATTTGTAGACAACAGCAACCTGGGCAGGAGTGTAGATTTGCTGAAGGGTAGGAGGGCTCTACAGATGAATCTGGACAGGCTGGATTGATGGTCTCAGGCCAATTGTATGAGGTTCAACAAGCCAAAATGCTGGGTCCTGCACTTGGGCCACAACAACCCCATGCAATGCTACAGGCTTGGGGAAATATGGCTGGAAAGCTGCCTGGTGGTCAAGCATTGGAACAGGCTGCCCGGGGCAGTGGTGGCATCACTGCCCCTGGAAGTGTTCATGAACGATGTAGACAAGGTCCTCAGTGACATGGTTTAGTGATAGCCTTGGCAGTCCTGGGGTAAAGGTTGGACTTGATGATCTTAAAGGTCTTTTCCAAAGTACTCGGTTCTATGATTCTGTGAAAAATAGCATGTGTCACAGCAGGCAAGAGCAGCATGATCCCATGCATCTGCAAATGGTGTTGCAAACTCTTCACAATGTTTAAAGTAATTGGACTGCTAAAGTTGGGAGGTTACTGCCTGTGCTAAAATAAGGAGCTAGGCTGAATGGTTCTTTGAG